GATTACATTAAAGGTGCCCCGATCGCAGCGGGTTTTCCGTAACCGTTTGACAGAGATGTACATGGGGAGAACTCTGAGAGAGAGAGTGAACTACGGCGAAAATTCTCTAACCAAACCAAGGAGCGGCTCCGATGTGCTACTTCAAATAAGATAAACTATGCAAGAAGCAATTCATTCTGCAGTGCGAATACTGAACTTCAAATGCAATAATTAAATGAACAGAGAAAACCTGGTTAGGTAGAAACAAAGGACTTACCTAATCGTTGCATTCCCATTAATATCGATTCCTTATTTTTCTGTTTGGTTTGCATTAGCCTTTGGAAAAAAGGAAAATCACATTACTGCTCAGCAAGCGAAAGTTCACCCAAAGGAAATTCATTCAAACGAATGAAAATATGTGAAAACAGATTGTTATTGTTATGGTTATTGTTTGTTTGTTCCTAACATGAAAGCAAAAGATTGAATTCACAGCAAATGTGTGAAGTTGTAAATAATTCGGAACATTTTTTTAATCGTAACTGAATATTCCATTAAATGAAGCATTTACCATCCACCGTGTTCTCATATAATCTGTCAAAAGCAAATCCTAGGAACGCAATGTTCTCTTATTCATAAGGATCCAACAATCTACACCCTGGAAGAATCGGGTGCCTGGTGATAGAACTGAAAAATTCCATTTCTACGTTCGTAAATTACTACTGAAATCTGTCGTACTAATTGAATCTGCTGTGGAGATGTGACGGTTGAGTCGCCAATCGCGTAATATGAGTCCCTTATGATATACGATCAGTCGATCTATTTGGAAGTACGGTGAAATAACTTGAAATAAACATGTATGACATAGGATTGGTTAGGGCTTGTAAATCGTGCGGACTTACCTCATTTTCCGCACTGTTATTGATCATCGTGTACAAAGTTGTGGTCCGAGCAGAACAGTTTAACAAAGGCATGTTGTTCTTGATTCGCGTCGACGGTTTGCACGCAGTCGACTCAACCGTTGGGAAAGTGTAGGCAGTCTATAAACAAGTGAAGAAAACACCAGTGAAAATCAATACTGAAACATTTTTCCTGCATTTTCCTCCGGACTAGATTGTTTTAAAATACTGTGTGATAATATTCATGTCTCATGTACTCTGCTCCAAAAATTACTTACTCGATCAGTAAGAAAGGAGAATTATTACAAACTCACAGTATTGCCTACCTTCTTACCCTGTCCGTTATTTGTCATCTTACGTTATCTGTTGCACAATCCAGTTCATTAATTTCAAATCTCCACCACAACATTCAGAAAGAAATATCTGTTTATATATTTTACAATAAGTATATGGATGACTGGACAGAATTTCCCTGGAAGAACACGACCGGTTTCGCGGTTCTTGTCGCTCGTCAGGCATGCGTATCTAGTAGACTTTTGTCTTTTAATTCATATACTTGTGCCCAGGAAGAATATATATACTTAGTTCTACGTCAGCGACTGTGAAGATTATATAAATTCATTTCCAAGTAGCAGCAATCATATTTAGTTGACCCCGAAGCGTTTGTTAATAAGCATAACAAACCGAAAATTGCGAAAGAACCGATTACGTCAGTTCCCAAATTGCGGGTCACATTACACCTTCTATTCAAATGTGACGACGTAAGCCGCCTGCTCTACAAACGACTGAGGGCAGCAATCGTTCGAACCTACTACGCAGCCGACCCCCAAATCGTCTACCGAACAACCAGGATACCCACACCACCGGCAAAAGAACGTCTACCTCTGTACGCCAACTCTAATCTAATATATTAATTCCAATGTGGTTGCGGAGCAACCTACGTGGGCCGAACAGAGCGACAGTTACGCAATCGGGTAGTGGAACATTCCAAATTGGGTGCAAAATCAGCTGACCCGATTGAGGTCAAGTCCGTTGCATAGATACGAC